AAAGACAGGATAAACAGTCACTTAAAAGGGTATGAATTAAAGAAAGGATAATTAGCTCAGATTTGTTAAGGAAAAATCATGCCTGGCTAACTTGACTGATATTTTGAGGGAGTAATAAGGAGGATTGATAAGGATGGCACAGCCTAGAACTCACTGTTCAAAAGTATAATAGAGGCACATGTCCTCAACTCATTTAAATGGTCTGGAATTTCAGTAACTGCAAGGCTACAGATCAAATGCTGGCAAGTAGAATTAGGATGAGTGACTTCATTTTTTTGTCACTACAAATATGATGGGCCAAGTGGCCTCTTTCTGTGTCATATTTTCTACGATTTTAAGGGAAGGTTTACAAGTTTAACAATAAGCTACAAAAAAAAACTAGAAATAAAAATAAACCAAGTTACATGCATATGGTATGTCATTTATAAAATGATTTAATTTTAAAGAGTTACCATATTAAAGTTGATGAGGGAAACAATTCCACATCCATACATCATATTTAGCAAAATAATGCCTGGTTCAATAGAGCAATGATATTTGACTATTTTGATTTGGTGGCAACAATCAGATAGTTAACCTATGATACAACAATGGAATCTGTATGAGCAATTGTTAAAACAAATATGTGCCACGGAAAGTAAATGATGCATTTCTAGATGGTACAGCCACTTTATGAGATTGATTAGGATTCATATTAAACGAAAGAAGCAGAGGTTGAAAAATTGTTACAAGAAGAAAGCTAAGTAAGACTAAAAAAAAATTAAAAGCCAAAAATTTAATAAGAAGAATAAGGGGTGGGGAGGAGGGTAGTATCAAAAAAGGTTGCAGTTAGTTCAAAATGTTTTTATAAGTATCTGAAAGTAGAAGTGAATTGGGCCGTTTAATGACAAATGTATGTATGGTGATGATAACCCAGGAAGAACTGACTGCAATTACTCAAGAAATGTTTTATTTCATTCTTCACAGTATAACAGAAAACTATCATGCTGGTGTTATGGGGAAAACTGGAGCTTGGTAGAGTGGAGAAATTCACAGACATTCAATATGTAAAAATACACCAATAAACAAAATATAGGATTGAAATAAGATGAATCTGTTCGCTCCTGCAGGCTTATAATACCTCCTCCGTTCTTCTAACTTGTGGTGACAGCTGAAACGCCCATCTCCCTCAACCCTATACACCTCATCCCTCCTTGCTAAACTTTCAGCCAATGTGACTCCATACCTTAGAATTCTCTTCCAAAACCTTTCCACCATTTCAGTCTCCTCTATTGTCAACAGCTTGCACTTAAGGGATTTTAAAGTTTTTGTCTAAGTCCACTTCTTTCCTCAAGCCCTTATATTTTATCTTCTCCAAATATCTGAATATCTTGCTTAACTCCCCCCTTTTTAGCATGTTTCTGAGGAGCACATTAGGACATCACCCTGCGTTAAAGGCCCGATGAAAATGCAAGATGTCATTGTTGCAGTCGTTACTCTAAACTCAAGAGGCTACAGTCAGTGGATGAAAATAAATGGTTGAGGAAATTTGGCTCGCATCAGTTAATTCTTGCAAACCTCAGGAACAACGCTTTGAGCGTGGAGGGTGTACAGCACAAATCCAAAAGAACTGCTGATGCTGTAAATCTGAAACAGTTCTGAGGAAGGGTCACCGGACCCGAAACGTTAACTCTGATTTTACTTCACAGATGCTGCCAGATCTGCTGAGCTTTTTCAGCAACTTCTGTTTTTGTTTCAGTACCAACCATTAGAATTAGACGAGGGCTTCAGAATAAATTACAAAGACTGGTTACAAAACTTGCTTTGTATACACTTGAGTTTAGAAGATTGAGTTGTGATCTAATTTCAAACGCTAAAAGTTTCAAACGCTAAAAGGTTGAATTGATTAGGGAGAAATTATTTCTTTGGAAGGGGGTGGTGCGGGAGCCTAGTGCCGGAGATTGAAAACAAGAGGCACAAATTAAAAATGAAATCTTGCTCAGTCAAAGTTGAGACGCCTTTGACGTACAGGAAGGGGGAAATTTGGAACTGGTTTCCCCAAAAGACTACGGGATCATCGCATTTTAGGAACTGAGATGAGTCGATTGTGGACTGAGCATGACGAGAGGCATGAAACATGACCGGTGTTTCTCAGTAAAGTCCAACAGAATTGGGGCGAGGGCAATGATTCAATCCTGTAAAAGACCCTCCGTCTCTAATAGGTGATTCAGACCAAAACTGGGAATGTACTGGAAGCTGTCTTCATTTTTCCATCATAAGTTTTGCTCGATGTACAGTTCAATCTCCAGTTACATGTCCATGAGTGGAGATTGTGTTTGCAAAAGCAACAGCAGCTATGAGAAAAAAAACTCCGCCCAGCATTTTAGAATTTGATCAAATTACAAGGTATAAAACACCAGAAGAGGCCGCTTGCTCCATCCTTCTAGTACCACAGAAACCTTTTAGATAAAGGCTAAGGACTGATGCAAAGTTAATCGGAAGTTAAGAGGCAATTTCTTTGCAATTGTTACAAAATGTGGAGAAAAAAGAACAGCGATTTGGGATTTTAAAATAATCCAGGGTTTACACAAAGGGAGCAGGCAATAAACCGAGTGGTCCACTCATCCGTCCTTTGTTAAATTTGCTCAAAGCATTTTTCCTGAAGACAGGCGAAAGGAAACCTGTATATGTTATCTTTGGGGTAGTTTTAAAATTAATTCTTAATTAACGACGTGAATATATAACAGCATCTTTAAACGTCTGAAGCCATTTCAGTAAAGTTTCATATAAATTCGCCAATGTATTTGAAAAGCGGTTGTGCAAATAAAGATCATTAGCAGGTTGGAGATCAAAAGCTGATCTATCGGGATCTGGAGAGTGGATATGTTTTGGGTTCTTACATTTCACAGGTAGAAGCTTAATGTGAGGGACTCTGATAGACGAATATTCAGTGGTGTATAATAGCTGTTTTAATGATGTTGTCTCGCCGCGCCGAGCTGTCACTCTTCTGAACATCACAGACTCCCTCAGACAGAAAAATAATTGGCCGTTTTTATCCTACATAGAAACGGGGACCCGGTGGGAATAAGACATTTTTTTCCCTGGGACAATTACATCAAATGTATTCCGAGCAGTAACTTCGGGTTCATATTCCTGTCTATTTGTTTCTAACCGTCTCACGGCCTGAAAGTTAAAAAAAAACTGTCCGAAAACACACGGATAGCAAAAATCGAGATTTACTCCAGGAGAGAGAAAAAAATGTAATATCAAATGTTAGATGCCAGGGTCGCTTTAAAAACAACATAAAAGGTTGGCGAGGGGTTGGTTGGAAACAATGTCGCGATATGGCAATCATATTGGCCAGTAGTTTCGCATGGGTAAGGGTTAGTGTGGACTTCTATGACAAAATAGTGAGGGTAATTAAGCAGAAAGTTAGTGACACCCCCGGGACTAGAAAGACATGTCAGTAAAGAAATTGTTATCATCTGAAAAGTTTCGTTGGATCTGATAAGATATCACAAAATGCAGTGAAATGCAATAGCCCGAATCATTAAGTATTCAACTTGCAGTGTCGGGGAGGGGTGGCGATCGGTTTGCAAACAGTGACTATAGCAGATAGTTAGGGGAGAACGAGAGAAACCGCAGGCGTGAAATTTCCGACGCGTTTTCGGGTCGCGAATGGAACCCAAACGTCTATGAAATCCTCCAGAAATCACACCAAATTGTCAGGCACCAAATTGTCATCTGATTTACAAGAAAAGTTCATCCAGTTAACGGTAATATATAAACATGTATTTTTGTTAGGGGTTGACAATTCGGTTGCATTTCAGTGAACCGGAATACCTCTGTTCTGACTCATTTTAATGGTTTGAGGCCAATATTGTACCTGGAAGTGCTGGAGAAAAGGGTACGGTTGCTTGTAAGACACGTGTATTCTATTTGGTTAAAATCTGGTTGTTTGTGACCGACTGGTTTGGAATTCAATATGCAAAGTGATGGAATTGTCTACCTCGAATATACAACGTGAAAAATAAAGTCTGCCACCTTTATATAAAGACACAACTGTGCCAAACAAAAAATCGGGTTTATGGATCAAGTTAATCTGAATGCGAAAATATATCAACAATAGAACTGCAGCGATCTTCGAAGTCATGATTGTGTCCCAGCCTTATGGACGGGAACCCACTCCCCGGTGGACTGCGCTATCAGACCAGAGTTTATCAAACCAGGTTACTGCCGATTCAGAGGGCGAGTTATAAAAGGCAGTGACCTCCGCGAGGGGTAGATTTACAGTTCTGCTGAAAGGTCACAGGCTCATAATATTGACTCTGTCTCTCTCTCTCAACAGATGCTGCCAGACACGTTGAGTATTTACAGCATTTCTGTCTCTTTCAGATTCTCCAGCACCCGCGCAATGCTGCTTTCGGTTTAAAAAAAATGCATTGGTTTCTCCAGGTTGCAATGTAATTGTCAGATGGGAAAAGCTCGAAACTGAAGAATTGATTTTAAAGCATGTTAAGCCTTCCATTTCCTGAAATCATTAAATACTTGAGGCGGGGGAGGATGCTGGGATGGGGAGGGGGGGAGACTATGAGTGTAAAATGAATCGGTGGAAGGTGTTTTGGAGAAGAGAGAGAGAGCAAGTTTGCTATTTGTTTGTTAGCATACCAACCCCCCCCCCAACTTTCCCGGGATCCTGACTCCACCCCTAGTCCCACCCCTGAATTCTCGCACCCAATGAGACTGGGGGCAGAGGGCTGAGGGGCCTGTGTTTGCAAAAGGATTGCTGGAGGAGGAGGGACAGAGGGAGGGGCGGAGGGAGCACGCTGCAAGAAGCTGACTTTAGCCCCACTGAAGACTAGCTGCCGGCTTGTGGTTTCTGACTGTGTGTTTGTATGTGTGTGTATTTTACGCAGACAGAGATCTGCACTGTATTTTGTGAGTGTGTGTGAGTCTCTCGAGGTGGGGCTTTGCTGGGACCTGGGGAAGGGGGGGCTGTGGTGTTGGGTTTTGGATTCGGAATGATGCAGTTAGCAGAACGATGCTTCACTTCCAGCTCCAACCTGCCCAAACCTTTCTACAGCTTATCCTCATCTCCCGAAAGCCAGAGCCCGGCATCCTCTCAGCTCGACTTCCCGGACAGCGAGCGGGCCGACAGTCTCCAGGACACCGGCGTTATCCACAAGAAGTTCGCCGGCTCCGGGATGCTGACAGATAGCCAGAGCCATAGCTTCAGCACGGCTAAAGTAGGGGCGCCGGCGGCCGCAGACCGGGCCAAGGGCTCCCCGTCTGGGGCGGCGGACGAGGACTTGGCAGAAGTTCGCTACAGTTTGGACAGTCTGGGGCCCGATCGGTATTTCCTGTCTCCCGTGGCCCCGCAAAACCTGAGCCCCGGCCACCAGCACCAGGCGCAGACCCAGCAGCAGATAGCGCCTAACCCTGGCTCCTTGCTGCCATACCCCGGGCAACACTCCTCAGCTTTCCCGGTGAACGGGGCCAGCCGTTACCTGAGTCCTCACTCCGTGCTGAGCAACGGCGCCTACAATCCGATTTTAACGCCGGCCGGAGCCCAGGCTCTAGCCCCCTCGGCTTATCCAGCGTACCCCGGCTCAGGGCGCTCTCAGTATGGACACGGTTACCAGAGCGGACCGCTCTATCCACAGTACACCCCCAGCATCCCGCACCCGACCCGGGCACAGGTCTACCTCTGCAATCGGGCACTTTGGCTGAAATTTCACCGGCACCAGACCGAGATGATCATTACCAAACAGGGCAGGTAAGGCATCAGACTTCTTCGGAAATCGACGGTTACCCCTCACCTTAGCCTTGCTTCATTCAGCTAAACAGCACTTTTCTGGAGTTATAGGATTTCATTTGAGCTGTGAAATGTCAGTCCTGAGAACGACTTAACTATATTTTTAAATAAAAACTTGCATGATAATCTTAGACTTTTTAATTAGGATCTCCCGTTACCCCGGGCTGTTTGAGCTGTCTCTGGTAACGGTGCTAACAAGTTGTTTCCCAGTCTAAGACGCGCCAAGCCTCAATAGCATTAGAGATGACAGCCACATCTCGTAGAATTAGGAAAGGTCTGATGTTTAGATTTTGTTCTATTCCAATCGAGAAGACCCTTGCAGATTCAGGAGTGTTGCTGTGTAATGTGGGGTACCTGTGGTGAACGACACACCTGGTTCTGTGTCCTGGAGCCGCGATACAATCTCCCAGCCACAGTAAGACACTGCTGAAGAAGCTGTGCCAGGCCATTGCCGAGGTCAGGTTCCAATTCCCGCAGGAGTTAGATCTGCTGCATTCTGGAGAGTATTCATGATGATAGATAACGCCGAATCGACTGTAAATGTGCAGATTTGATTGATGACCATCCTTACATCCCAGCCTGGCTTGTTCTCACTGGAAGTGGCGTCTTTTTCTCAAACTGGGACTCCACAGAGTTACTTCAGAGCCTGAGGGATGTGTGTCAGATTCTAAGTAACCCAGAGATGTCTGACATATTTCGTTATTTAAGGATTCTGTAAAGACTGGCCAATGACGGAACCAGGACACTGGCGCCTGACTTTCTGTTTTTTAGAGAACTAGGAAGCTGATGTCTTTGAAAGAAATTAAGTCTCCCTAACGGAATCTCGATTGATGTATGTAATCAACTCTTTAACGCCTTAATTTTGAGCGCATTGAGATAGCGACCATCTCTTTTACTATGTAAAGGCCTGGGAGCGTTCTGATTTGCGGGAGAATTTGCACTCAGTCCCAAAATCAATTATATATTTACAGTTTCCAATACTGACGATTTTAAGGTAGGAAGATCCCCGGTGATATGACTGTATGTGGGGCTGGGTGAAATGTGCAATTTATAATGGTATTTGCACACCATATACATTTTAGATTTACGTTCGAAGGGTGAAACTACCATGTAGCGGGAGGCTCATCTCGCCTTTTTTTTGCGCTGATAATCTGAGAGATCGGGGTAATTGCAGATTACTCACGTTATCCAGTCTAATAATCTTCCACAAGGTCACCCGAAGGAGGTACATGTACTAATAGATTCGCCAGGTCTGTTTAATGGGTTCAAACAGAATGGCGTATGTACTTTCGAAAGCGGGTGCTGGAAAGCTGAAGTTAAGAGAAAATGTTGGAAATACTCGACGGAACAGGCAGCATCTGTGGAGAGGGGAATTCAGTTCATGTTTCAGGTCGAAGACCTTTACATGGGCTGGCTATCAGAGAGGTGTCTACAATCTCTCACCCATGAAATTTCCCTATTATTTCCTAATTCCCATCCTCTCTATTTGCCTGTAGAAGTTTCATAGCTCATTTAACTGGGTTGTAACTTCGAAGTTCACACTCTTACCCAAACAAAGTACATTGTGTGTGTGTTTTTTTTTACACATTTAAACGTCTGGATCCAGTTTTGGTTTCATTGGTGGAGAGAAGAAAATGAAATCACGTTTTGTTAGTGTCATTACTGATTTCCTCAGTGACGGGGTGTTATGAAGCTAACTCCAGCTGTTCCAGTTGTCTCCCGTTTGCTTGAGGTCCATCACTCATATTTGATCAGTTATTCATGATAGACTAGCCCGAATTTCCTGTCAGGGCCTGTACCTGGGGATCTGGTCCGGAATATTTTATGAAATAGTGTGGCCACTTTTCAAAGCAGCCAATTCAGAGTCAATATGTTCAATCGCGCCCAGTGTCAGTGCAACAGGAGCGTCAGTGAACACGAGTTGTTTGCTGGAGCTGACATCTTTTCGCCACTGCGAAAGGGACCCCAGTTTTATGTCGGAAAAGAGCATCTGTTTAAATGCTACTATATAGTACTTTAATAAAGTGGGGCCGATATCCTGTATCAAACAGACGCCAGCACCGAGAGTAATCAATCTATCCCAATTGTGGTTTTTTAAATGATGGATTAATTGAAATCGGTACCCGATCTTTTTTTTATTCAATTAGACGAATTGTTTGATGTATTTATTTGGGATGAGTGATATTTCATATATTTCTTAATGCCTTGTGGGAGACATCAATCCGGATAAGTACATAATAATTAAACCCAATTTTCTCATTTCAATAATAATAGGTCTGTACAGTTTGTGTGTACTTGCTTAAATCAATCTCGTCTCTAATTTCGTATTTCCAATAGCAATCTGGTTTGCCCCAAGAAATGATTAAATGTTAAGATGTCTGAGTGGGCTATAAATGCCCGGCATTGTCTTGCTACAATTTGTGAAATACTCCTAACTGGAAAATTGCAACATTTCAGCCGAGAAACACAAGGTTATTTATTTAGAGTTACATACTTGTCAGCATGTAGTGGACTTTAGATTGAAATCTTTGTATTAAATTACTCATCCGCCACCTTCGTACAATGAATCTTGGAGATATTGAAACGGAGAGGCTCAGTACTCCCCAGGTTCATGAACACGGACAGTAGAGCCCGTGGACCAGATTTGATAACGGTCCTATCCTTAAAGCCGTTAACATCAGGTCAGTTCAGAGTCTGTGCACCAAACGGCGCGCTTAACATGCTGTCATTTAGGAACTCAATTTTCAACACTAGTGAAGTCACAAAAAGAGTGCAAAACTCGGCGGGCATTGTTTTGGGCATATGCCTCCTTCCGCGTACTCGAAGTCATTCACGCTTCAGAAAACATTTGATGGTGTGTCAATGTTGAAAGTTCAAAGCAATTGTTACTTGCGCCTGTTAGATCAGGAATCATATCCTGTAAATTATCACTAAGATGAGACTATTGTCAAAGTATATTACTCTGGCCCATCTGACGTGACTGCGCATGTTTAACGCTCCTCAATGCCGATGACAGGAGAAAACTTATTTCTCGCTACAGCCAAAGCAAATGACTGCAATGGCTTAAATGCAAATCGACAATATTGGAAGCACTCAGCAGTCAACCAACATCTGTGGGGAGAGAAACAGAGTGAAGCTTTCAGATCTGCGTTTGCTTTTTACATGTCAGATTGGCTGAGTATTTGAAGATTCTCTGGTTTTGTTCAATATTCACTGCCGATCCGGGTTTCTGTCGTTTATTTTTTAAGCATTTCTGGTATTGTATCGTTTTGTTGTTTATTTTCTTTGCTTCTCCCAGGCGTATGTTCCCCTTCCTGAGTTTCAATATTTCTGCTCTCAACCCAACCGCTCATTACAATGTGTTTGTGGAGGTTGTGTTGTCCGATCCCAATCACTGGCGATTTCAAGGTGGAAAATGGGTGACTTGCGGAAAAGCTGACAACCATATTCAAGGTGTGTGTGAGCGCGCGTATTGTGCAGCATCGAGCTTGTGCGGACTGTGTAAATCGTAGAGCTGTTTGTATCTATCTGTATATTCTGAAACGGATCCTCTATTTAATGGCAAGACATGATGCCAGTGAAATGCGCATAAAGTTACACTTCATCAAGATTTGGGCACGCAATTCAAACAAATATAATTTTATTCAGTAAATTGTCAACTGTTAGGCATTAATAAATTTCTATCGTTGAGCAAGCATTGCCTTGTAGGTAATCTTCAATTAGTCCTGTTTTATCCGTGCAGCTTCGGTGTAGTCAATTATATTTTAGACCCCCAGCATCCGCAGGACTTTGCTGTTATATTGGAAAGAACAGAAAATGTTGGAATAACTCATCATTTTACAGACGGGAAACAATTGACGTCCAGGTGGTTGGCCTCCCATGTCAAGATTGTCAAGAAGTTTTGAACAGAAATTTATAATCTTATTCTTCTTAATTGATTGCATATAACGGGATGTTGCTCCTGCCTGGGTCAAGGGTGTTGTTCATAATGAAATGAGAATTTTTAGCACCGAACGCTGTATTCGCTCCATGGCTCCTGTGTTTGCTGCACATACTCTTCAGCCACTCTTTCACTCCTGACCCATTTCTTGCCATTTAAAACAACTTGCACTTATGTAGTGCGTTTTACATAATAAATTGTCCCAGAGTGCTTCGTAGGGCCAATTACTAAACAAAATTTAAGTTGGATGGTCCACTATTTGTGTTACTAATGTTGGTAGTTGGTTAGGGCAAGAAAGACTTGTACTGATCAGAGAATTTGAGAAACAATTCCCTAATATGGAAATTGCATGTGACTTTTTCTGGCTGTACTTAAAGTTTCCTTTTGGTTGAGGTACTGTGTTTTTAAATAACAAACATAGAAAATACCAGAGAAACTCAACAGGTCTGGCAGCATCTATGGAGAGAGTAACAGTTAATGTTTTGAGTTTGATATGACTTTTTCTGAATGTTCAGAATTAGTTATCTGTTGTTTTTCATGTTATGTTTTTTAAATGCACAAAGATAAGTTATATTTTCATCTATGTGAAAACAACCTCACATCAATGTCTCTGTAATTGTATAGGGACTGCTGGGTATCTTTGTGCTAGGACTGTTTGGTGTTTGATCGGTAAATTGGCAATCATGAAGAGGGTATTAGCAATAAAAGTAGGCCAGTCAGTTGGTCAAATTTGCAATTAAATCATGAGGATTCAAATCCACCAATTGTCAGCAGGTTATCATGTTCTAGGATAGCCTTAGGCTTTATTCTGCAAATACAGTTTCAGAAATGTGTAATCTGCAGAGGGTGTCCACTGTTTGGCCTTAAATCAAGTTCACTGGACCAATGCAACTTTTAAATGTGCACAATTAATACTTAATCTGTACTTTGGTAAAGTCTAATCAATAACATTAATTTATTTCAAAACTGTGAACAGTGCTTCTTTCTGATGTAAAGTCAAAATTAACCTGCCCCTGTCATATTCAACATGGTAGTTGTGCCTACTTTAAAATGTGCAATTCTGCATGAACAATTTGGTGTCAAAGCAAGCTTTGATTTCCCAGTATGCAATTTGGGTATTGCACCTTTAAAATTTGGAGCTCCTTCCTCATTTGTGGAATAAGTTATCAGTACAATTTTACACATTCTGTAGAAATGCATTGGGCTTTAAAGTTCAGACCAGAGAACCTTGATGCCTTGAAATTGTTTACAACTGAATGTCAAAGGATTCATTTGCAATGTGGGGCTGCAAGGCTGTAGAGATAGGGTACGATAAATGTATGTCTTCTGACAAATTCTGCTGAAGATTTACAGACTTGAAATTTGAACAATTTATGTGTCCATGGATGAAGACTGGCTTTTTATTTCCATTATTTTGGTTTTTTCTTTTCAAATTTGCACAATCTACAACCTTTTGCTTTTGTGTAAACATTTTTCTGAATAATGTGAACTAGTCGCAGTAGTTTCATGTCAGATCAAACTGAAATGCAGTATTTTAAAAACCCAATTTTTTGCTAATTTCACTAGAAAAAAACATTCATTTGCACTCAGTTTTGAAATTGATATTAATATTTTTAAAAATCAGAAAAGAAACTAAGATTTCCCATTGTTCCTAACTTGTTACTTACAATGTCATCTTTCACTTTATCCTTCAGGTAACAGATCTTATGTCCACCCTGAGTCTCCAAACACTGGAGCTCACTGGATGAGACAAGAGATTTCCTTTGGGAAACTTAAACTGACTAACAACAAGGGCGCAACCAACAACAATACTCAGGTGAGCCAGTGAACAGGTAACACCTATCTCTGATGTGATAGACTAAGAGTAACCCTCTGTGGCGGGTGTCTTAACAGTTGTGTATCTTTCATTTTTACAGATGGTTGTATTGCAGTCCTTGCACAAATACCAACCACGCCTTCATATCGTGGAGGTGAATGAAGATGGTGTAGAGGACGTATCTGATTCTTCAAAAACACAAATGTATACATTCCCAGAATCGCAGTTTATTGCTGTCACTGCCTACCAGAACACTGATGTAAGTATAGTTTATTGCAGATTTGAATTGTTAAAGCTAATGCAACTGTTGGCAACTGATAATTTATTTTTGCACAATTTTTTTCACATTCATTAGATTACCCAGCTGAAGATAGATCACAATCCTTTTGCCAAAGGTTTCAGAGACAACTATGATTCGTAAGTTTATGCTTTTAATGTAATAACATTGGATTCAGATAAATTTGTTCTTTAAATCACAAGATATCATGATCAATGTTCTAATTTCCTGTTTAATTCCTCAGTATGTTCACTACTCCAGAAAATGACCGATTGACCCCATCTCCCACGGATTCACCCCGATCCCATCAGATAGTGCCTGGGGCCCGTTATGCCGTGCAACCCTTCTTCCAGGATCAGTTTGCCAACAGCATACCATCAGCCCGGTTCTACAATGGTGAACGTGCAGTGCCCCAAACAAGTGGCATCCTGTCCCCCCAACAGACCGAGGAGTCCAGCAATCCTCCCCAGAGGTGGTTTGTCACCTCTGTGCAACAGCCTGGCACCAATAGGTTGGACTTTACCTCTTACGATGCAGATTATGCTGCCAATGCCTTGCTGCCCTATGGTCTCAAGCCTCTACCCATTCAGTCAGCTCATTCTCTGAGCTATTATCCTGACCCAACATTTGGTTGGGGTTCCAGGAGTTCCCAGTACCAGAGAAAGATAGCCTCTGGGCTAACATGGTCCTCCAGAACGAGTCCACCAGCTTTCCCTGAAGATCAAGTGTTGTCCTCCGAGGACAAAGCAAGGGAAGAAGCCAACTCACCTTGGATTGAAACCCCACCATCCATTAAATCCATGGACTCAGACTCTGGACTCTATGAAAATGCCTGCAAGAGAAGAAGGGTTTCAGCTGGCAACTCTAGCAGTGAAAGTTCACCAACAATTAAATGTGAGACAATTACTTCTAAAGAGTATAACAAGGATGGTGCAAAAGCAATGGGCTACTATACTTTCTACACCAGCCCTTAAGGTATTCCCGAGAAGTTTGCCTGTATATATCCAATCCATTCACCAAATGTCGAGATGGTCTTAGGAGTGCCAAAAAGACTGAAGTTTCCTTCCACCTTAAGAACTGACCTTGTACAGTCTAATAGTGCAATCAAATTTTTAAGAAGGTGCCAAAGTTATCTGATGCTGTAAGCGATAAGATGAAGAAATTCTAGCTAAGTCTGATCGAATGTGATGTCCCATAACATATAGTATTAACTTTAGGAGGAATTTCTTGGTGGGAGGGGCTTAAATACCAGATTGACGTTTACTGTGTGTGGTTTTATTTATTTGACAATACAAATATGTACAGTTCCTGTTCTTTATAGTCTACTGTAGAAGGGGTGCAGTATGGTGTAAAAGAAAATGAGTGTTAGTTCAATGAATAAAACCCAGTCCTTTCCAATTCCATCAATATGTACAGATTAAGCAAAAACAACATTTTCAAGCATTAATTTTTCACAAGCAATAAAATAAGACTTGTTCAGACTCTATAATTTCAGCTTTCCAAGGGTTGCTGTGAGGAGGGAACTAATGTATTTGTAAAGTCTTGATAAATGCATAGCTAATGCACTTATAATTCTGACCATTTCCCATTCTCATTCACATGAAAAAATAGAATAGCGAAAGACCTATTGGCACCTTAGTTACAAATTTATCAGGCTTCGGGTGGTCATTTGATTGTAGTTGTGGAAATTAAAATCTCACACAGAATTCAAATCATTCTTCAAGTAACGATGTGTTTAAAAGTGTCAGCATATGTGCACCTCCGCAAATTAACAAACAATTTTTTTTCAATACTACAATAACCCTGTGTGTACCTGCTGAACTCAGACCATTTTACATTTCCCTACAATCAAGCCAACAGTCTGAAATTGTCTTGGAATGTTATTTGCTACGAGTTTAAAAAAAAACAAATCAGGGCTTACTTAAAAATGGCGTCGGTACGTGGTTTATTTGCAAAATAAAGTACCAGATTTTCAAGAATTAGTTAAAATGCAGTGTAATGAAATCCCTTCACTGACAATACTGTACATTCACAGCCAGGCTTCGTGGGAAAATGGTTTTCTTGCTGATTATTTCCAAATTATGCATTCTAAGTAGAGAAATCAGACACCAAGAAATAACGAAATGTTTTTGGAATATTTTTGATGGTTGGAGCAATCATCGGAGAAAATTCCGAATAAAAATGTTCTTTTAAGTCCGCCTGCTTTGTGATGGTGAAGGTTTAATTCTGGCGAGTCTAACAAAGAAGAAAGCAATCGGGAAAAATAATCTCGATAACTAGAAATGGTGCAAATGTTCCACAATTGACGACAAATTTAAATTGTAGCTCATGCAGAGCCGGTAGGCGAGACTGACGAGTTTTTTTTTGTTTTGTTGTGTGTTTGAATCGACGCATTGTCTGAAGCATTTAGCTGCTGCATTCCTTTGGTTAATGAAATGCGCGCTCGGTAAATGCTCTCTCCCATTCGGTTTGACCAGTGCGAAATCTCTGTCGCTTTGCGATCTCACCTTCATCGCAGATACACTTTAATGGCCAATCTCGCAGTTGTGGAAAATTTCTCAGTTTATTTTGGTCCTTCCATATACGCAGGTTGTACTGTTTGCTGTTTTGTTTGGTTTACGCCCTCCGAAAACAGTTAGATCAAATGCTTCTGAACCACGTTCCAATTTGCGAGAGTGCAAAACCACACGAACAATGGAAGAAGCCTAAAAAAATTGCTGGCCGGGGTGGAGGCTCATATCAGTTTTACCTTATTCCTGTGTGCAGCGATATTGTGTGGTTGACACAATACTCCCAAATTGGCTCCTTGTGAATTTTGACAGCGCCTGTAAACTTATTTTGGAAGTGGGTGTTGGAATTTGATTGCGCTTGTTAAAGATGCTATATAAATGCAGGGGAGGGATGTCTGCAAGCGCCATCTTGTGGCGGCTCGGAAGGAACGCTCAGAATAAAAGAGCAATTCAACCGTATGTCACCGTGCAATTAATGCTGTGGGGTTCGAGGCCCACCTTCCCCGGGAGATGTGTCACAACACATCCATACAGGTTGATTCAAGATACTTACCAATAGATTCTGTCTAGTGCAATCATCTTATAATACCTTATTTTTCACCTTACAGACTCGTCCTTTCATATAATTTGATGAGTGTTGGTGTTGAATTCAAGGGAAAATCTTCGAAAGATATAAAATCAGGGTTAACATTTCGCAAACTTAACGCCACATTTAGATATTGGCATTTTCACGTCTTGATCCGATTTGACCCTTTACTAGTGTGGAATCCGATAAAGTGAATGCAGTCCAATGTAGTACATCATTGCATTACACCAGGCACAACGATTATTCGTCCCCTTTTACAATATTTAATAATTAGAGGACAGGAAATAATTTAAATTGACGGAATGTGTGTGGCATCGAAAGTACTCAGCTGCTGTGTTGGAGAGACATTGGGTTCCCACATCAACAGCCAGCTCAGGGATGTGTGCGTACAGAGGGAAAAACAAGATCACTTCTGTGGCCCACCTTTAGTCCCTTTCCCATCACAAACACAGAACCAGATCTGCTGAGTATTTCAAATGTTTCATGTTTGAATGTCAAATTGCAACATCAGCAGCATTTCCATTTTTTGTTGTTGTTTGGACAAGTCAGTCCTAATGTGTTAAAACGCTCGAAAGATACAGCGAGTATAAACAAAGGTCAGACCCATTTTGTAGATGAACAGAAAAAGAAAAATGAATGAAAACTAATTGATGATTTTCGAGTAATCGTTCACTGGTTAAATTGCCTCTTAAAGTGAACGTGTAACCCCAAGGTACAGTCTTCTGCCAGCCCAGCGCAAAACAAAATGCAGGAATAACCAAACATTTCGGGCTGGAGTTGTTTGTTTTGTTTGGATTTTAACATTGTTTCTGTGTGTGTTTTTTTGGGGGGGTTGCTTTTTTTAACCGTTGAAGTGTCACGGAAACGTAACACCCACAGTGGGAAAACCAGAAGGGCGAGACATTCGCACTTAGATGTGGATTTGAAACTTTTGAAAGATAGAAATGAAGGAATGCATGTCGACCTCATTTCTGAAGGATTTCGGCAGCTTTGTTTAAACGGAAGCGGGTTAGATAACAATAAAATGACGGCGGCTGAGTGTTCAGCACCGATTTGGTTGAATCAGATGGCGCCTGAAACAAGCTGGTTTCCAAGGTGTGGAATGTATTTGGCTCAGTTCCCACTGGCAGAAAGCAGAAATTCTGAGATGTAACACCTTACAAACTGGTGAAATTTATGAATCAGTCAGTTCTGAGAAATCAGACGACCTTCGAACAAATGAAAAGAAAATGAAACTTAATATTTGTCTAATAAAGATTACCTTGCATATTCGGCCTCTGTGTAGATTATATAGACCCAGAAACACTCTCATGCTGTTTGCTGTCAAACTCTGTAAATGGCCGCATTATCTGTAACAGCCCAAGTTAAAAGGATTAACTTTTAACAATAAATTATATTTGCTTTAACCAGGCGTGTATTCTGACATCTATTTCTAAATGTTTGGCGGTGGAAATAGGATAAAAATGGGAATACCGATTCGCCCTCTGTGCCTGGTACAACAGTAAACAGAATGGGAACATTCTTAACAGCACATTTGAAAACCCACCGAATATTTTCACGCTCTAAACGCAGACTCGGCTTCAGCTCCTAGTGTTCTAATTTATTGGGCCAAAAAGTTGTTGCTTTTAACACCAAATTTCATTTTAACTAATTTCAATTAACACCCGCGAATTAGAAGGAGTTTCTGAAATGCGAGTGTCAGGCTCCTAATTGTAAACGGAACTATCTCATTAACTCGAAAGTAAACATTTTAAGAACTGGTTCTGAATATTAAATATCTCTCTTCCCGTGATCATGTTATCAAGACTGGCATTGTGGCCAAATTACAATCTGGTAGAAAAAGAAAGATAAACATTTTATTTAATTAAGAAACAATTGAGATGGAACCTAGCAACAACGGAGCGGACACATTCCTTCCATAAAGGTACAATTTCTGAGCATCTTAATGACGTTTTAATTGTATTTTATACAAGGACTATGTCTCACTAAATGGACATGTTTACAGGAAGTCTACAATTATGTTTTTGGTCATCGCTGCCTTGGACCCATGTTCTCTTTCAGCTCACTTGTTTTAAAACTCAAGTTATGATTTCAAACTAAACGAAATGGAGAAAGAATAAACTTCAATCGATATTTTGACAATGCCTACTTCCAAAGTAATTCAAACCCCAAAAATTAGCGGAAATTAGCACTTGCTCAATTTTTACTCGAAAGATCGCCCTCAAGTAGTTAATGTCCTGCCAGCTCGTAAACGATTGCATAGAAACAGATCTATTTACGACACAGAAAGTGGTCATTCGGTCCATCTTGTCCAATGGTGTAAAGAGCTGTCCCGCCCGATCTCACTTTCAACTCTTGGTCCGTTTTGGCTTGGTATGTAATAGTCAAGCGTTTTGTTTTAAATTGCCACAAGGGTCTCTGACTCTACCACCCTTTCAGATAATGATTTCCAAACCTTCACTATCTTCAGGGTGAAAAATTAATCTCCAACTCCCCACCTCCCCCCCCCCCCCCCAACCCCGCCTCAATTTTTCTAGTTCCTTAAAATCGATGCCTCCTGGTTATTAAGCTCAAACTAAGTGAAATAGGTCCTTCTTATTCACTTTTTCTGGGCCCCTCAAAATTTAACATACTTGAAATAAATTTTCCCTCATTTGTTCCAAAGAAGACAACACAGCCTATCTAATCTTTCTTCATCACTGACTGACATTCTCACATCTTTGCAACATTCTTTTAAATCTCCTCTGCACCTTATTTAATTTGAGCACATCCTTGTAATGTAATAGCCAGAAGTGTAAGCAGTAGTCTTGGTGTGATCTAACTAGTGTTGACACAGTTCCAGCATAACCTCCCTGCTTGTATATGCCAGATCTTACCTAATAAAGGAAATTATCCTGATGTCTTCTGGGCCACCTTATCTACCTATGGGCATATACTCCAAGGCCCTTCTGCTAAATTTCTTAGAAAGCAGTCATTTTTTGTTCATTCCCTTATTTTTTTTAATGCTTTCCACAAATGCATTGCCACAAACTTTTCCAGGTTGAATTGCATTTGTGACTTTTCTGCACAGTTGACCAGTCCATTGACATCTTCCTGCGGTTCTACAACTCTCTCCTCACTATCAACAATATAATTGATTTTTATATGATTTGCAAATTTCATAATCACAACCTCTCAAGACTAGGTTATTAATATTTACCACAAACAATAAGGAACCCATCACAGTGCCTCGTAGAACTCCACTGGAAATGGCATTAGTTACAAAAGCACCTATTCAAATAAATTGCTTCCTGCCTTTGGCCAGTTTTGAACCTCATTTGCCACTTTCACTTGGGTCCCATGCTATATCCCCTCTTAATTTCTCCAGCCACTGCATAGACCTCTAAGGTCCCTGTATGGCTGCAGCTGGAGAAACCAGAGTGAATGTGTCAGCATGCCAAGCAACATGCATGGACATTAGGAACACTATGCTACTTAGAGAGAATGTCAGTGTCATGAATTATTCATTTTCTGACCAGATTGTCAAAAGCCTTGCTGAAATCCATGCAGACAACATACATTAAAAACATACTCTGATTTACCTTCCTTGTTACCTCCTCAAAAAGTTAATCACTAGTCAGACATGGCTTTTCTATAACAGATACATGCTGTTTTTAATGTGCCTCTATAAATGATCATTTCTAGAGTCTTTAAGAATATTTCCCATAGACTTTCATGCTGTTGAGCCTTTATTTACTTGGGCTATCCCTTCAACCCTTTTTAGACAATGAAACAACATTACTAGTTCTCCTGAGCCATCCGTTTCTCCAAAGAGGATTGAAAAAATGATGGTCACTGTCTCCACTATTTCTTCCTTTCCTTTCTGGGAAGCTGTCCTGCTTGTTGGGGAAACATAAAGAGTGATATCACAGGAAAGTCAGAGTGGTCTTAACCTGCCGCAGGCATAGAGGCTCCAAAGGATAGAGCTGATTGGTAACTAATAGGTAAGGTCAAGTCACTTACAGTTTGTAAGGTTGTTTTGTGATTTATCAATTCTAAGGGTTGTGTTCTGCAGT